TTGCAAATATTTTCAAAAGCCAGAGTGTAAGTCAGTTCGTGTCACATTGACATTCTCATCCAAGTCTATAAAGACATTACAACCTGTTAGCCAAGAAGCATTACTTGCTGTAATACTCAAAGTTACCTTTCAGCCAAGACAGAGGATTTTACATTTGAGAAATATAGATAAGCACGCAAAGGCAGAGACTTGGATGACTGCAACAACAGTTACACTAAGTAAGGTCCTGAGAACAGGATGCTGGAATAGGTTGGCAGGAATTTTCTTATGCTTTGAGCTGTTTTCCACAAATCGAAATACTTGTCACAGGGACTGTATTGGTTTCTTTCTAAAATAAAGGATGTGCCTAATAGATGGAGCCAGTCTATTAATTCTCCTGTAGCTGTGCAAATTACTGCATAAATTATAGGCTTATGATTGTCAAAATATCTCAAGACACTGAGTATTAAACATTTTCCAGTACTGTACTTCCTGAAAAACCTTAAAGTTATAAACCTGTTAGATATTGTTGGGGGACTAAAGCTGATAAATCAAGGAATCAACTAGGTAAGCACATATAAAAACACAAAATATTGCTGAGTGGTTTGTTATAGGAAATGAAAGAGAATAAGTTAGAGGGAGCAGAGAAAGCACCACCTTAACTTTCTCTTGCATTCAGATGGAGCAGATTGATTCCAGATTAACAGAAACATGCATATGTATTTGTTTTTTGCAAAGCTTGTGCTTTTAATGTCTCGTAACGAGCATATTAATCATGGTGCGAAGTTGCAGAAGTTGATAAATTAAAAATTGCCTTGTCTTTTGCAGGATTCAGTCCAGCAGTGGTATCAACAATATGCCCAGGCATACCATACCATCCAAACTAGAGTAGGGGAATTAGAAAATGGTGGCTCAGAGGTAAGTGGGTGATGATTCAGTATGCTTCACCAGCAGCCTGTGTCAAGGTTGTCAGTAAACAAGGATAGATTTTGAAATTCAACCAAAGTAACAGATTACATAGCACTTCTTATAATTTTCTCCCTGAAGTTCTTTCAGTAAGCATATTTCAGAATCTTCAGGACACCTGTGTGCCATGAAGTAATTGAATAATTATTATTTTTCTTTGCAAACTTGAGCTTATCCTTCTTAAAAGGAAAAAAATAAATAATAGGCTAGGCAGTGTGAACCATAGAATTCTGAATTTCCCTTTTTGCGGGATTCTTTTCGTAAATGAAAATTATCCAGGGTATTTATAGGATAGGTATTTGTTGGTAGTAGAAACATTCCTTTAATGGAATGAGGTGCATTCCTCTTATGTTCATGTTCTGCATTTATAATTGCCTGAGTTTTCCTTGGACGATCTTGGCACAGGAAATCAAGAAAATTGTTCATTGGGCTCTAGCAAAATCTCAATACCATTGTCAAAATGCCTGTGATTTTAGGGAAGCATTTTAACAAGGTGATGTAGCAAAGGTTACAGCATCTGAAAAACAGAATGAATTGGTTTTTATTGGTGTTTGGGGTAAAACATCTCCCAAGTTTGGTACTGACCATGTTTCTGGCTCAGATGTCTGAGAAATTAAAATATACTCTCACCAAACAGTAAAGGGGGATTCTCAGAGATACTTTGCCTTTAAGAAACTTATACTACTTTTGAATACAGAATTGTGTGTGTCCATTTGAGGTGCGACTGCACACGTGCACATCGCAGAGACCCAGAAGTGGCCGGAAAAGCAGGCACGGTCAAAGGGGCTTATGCACCCTCTGCTGTCACACATCATGAGTGCAACCCCTGCGCAAAATGGGGGTTGCCTGCACATTGATACTCTCCTCTGTCACAGAATTTATGATTAATCGTTTCTCCCGGAAATATGTTTCCGTTTCTTTTCAGTGGCCAGCAACCATAGTGTTTCCCTTTCTGTGTTTTCTCCATGTAGGAATCTGATAGTGGCGTGTATGGGGACTTCAGTAGCTACTTGCAAGTCATGCCATCGTATTACGCTGCCACCCAGGGGTCCTTCCATCCAGGCCTTTTGCCACTGGCGCCTCAAAACCCACTGAAGGTAAGAGGAAAGAGTTGGCACGCTTATTCCTGAAGCAGCCGATAAATTACACTACAGCATTCTCATGTATTTTTAAATAGTATGCAAATGAGAAATTTCGTTAGGTACAACTTTCCAAATGCAGTGGATGAGTAGGATGAAAGTGCAATAAATAAATAAGCTAGAATTCCTTCACATACATATGAAATGTAGTCAAATTTTTATATTTATATATATATATATAGAGAGAGAGAGAGAGAGAGAGAGAGAAGCAGAGAGACCAATTTGGAAAAGTTCTGCATACTAGTCTGTTTCTCTGTTGGCACCTACATGTTGCTAGGTTGATGTCTTGTGCTGCCACCTAGTGTTCAGAAAACGCATAATGCAGCTTAAGAATTTGTCAGGGCTGCTATACAAAGTCTTTTGACTTCATTTCGTTGCTATTGAAAAACATTCCAAGTAGCCTTATGGTTTGTCCTAGTCCATTTATTTTATTTTATTTACGTAACTAGATCTAGTGTTGGTCATCCATAGAGAGCAGTATAGTTTGGTTATAGAAAGGATAATTCAGTATTCTTTCAAATAACTGCACACACATTGCTGTAATAATGGACTTTTATGATGTTTAGATGACACCAATAAGAAACGAAAAGCGGGGCTCTTCGTACCTCATCACCACTCCAGAAGATGGCCCAGTGGAATACGTTGGTCAGCAAACTCAGGGCTCGGGAGTACATTATGCAGAATTGTATCTTAAAAGAAAACGTGTTTATTAAGACCAGCATCTTGCTTGGAGTCAAAGCCACATTCATGTCATCCTTACCTTTCACTTTTAATATGTATTGTAGATATTGGAGAACCAATCTATGTAGTTTCTCTGAGTAAATTTGTGTGTGGGGAGCTACTAATGGCAGATACCCTCCAGACTAGTTTCTATGCATTGAGTGACAATTAAGTTATTTCTTAAGCTCTTAAAAAGAAATGGCAGCTTTGCCCCCTTGAGAATGTCTCTCGGAGCAATAAAATAACAATGAGAGGAAATGTTTTTGCTGGGAAAGTTGCAGTGGTAGTCTTAAAGAAACAATTGTGCTGGGTTTTTCCTCCTTCAAAGATTTAGATTCCTGGCTGCAATGTTAAATTCATGTTTGATCCTGATAGCAATATTCCTTTATTGGCTTTAATGGGGCTTGCATATTGGATTACAGCCCAGACAATGGTTAGGTTGAGTGTAATCATTGCAGTACACTCTAGTCAAAGTAGGCAGATCTTTTCTGGATTAAAAATAAAAAATAAAATAGCAGTTGTAGCTGCTAAAGTGGAAGTACGCTAGGAAGATATCAATGCACTTCATTAAAATAAATGATTGCTGGCAATACCAAGTGTGCACGACAAAATGTCCATGAAGAGAATTGATAGTAGCTGTGCATTTATAGTCTTAGGCTTCTAGGTCTATTTCTTGTTAATCGGTTTCTTTGGGGGGGAAATAATGTGAATTTCCATTTAGTATCCAGTGGAACTGAATGCATTGCTATCTATCTGCTCCACACCCTATTTCTATACTACAGTACTCTTGATTAATCACTGCCACCTTGGAAATTCTTCAGTATCTTTTCTTGCACTTTATAACCATGGCAATTATTTGTGTTCACTGGAACCGGGTGGAATGTGGTGTATTCATGCTTTTTGCTGGCTCTTAATTTATTTCTAACTAAGATTCACAGAAAGCTACTTTCCTGTTGTTTGGAACATGTTTGAAATAACCAATACAGCTGCCATTTTCCATAGTAACCCCAATTTGCAGGTTTTTGTTTCTGAAGTAAGATTTAAAATGCATGAGGCCCAGCATTAGCAATGGTAAAATCCGCAGTGGGAGGTTATGAAGAAATGTACATCAATGAAGGCAGCATAGCTTGTCTCCAGTGAAGAGAGATCAAGGTAAGCCTGATTGAAATCCAGTCAGATTTAAAGTTAGGTGCAGTTTACAAGTTTCTTGATTAGGAGGCTGTTCTATAAAACTAATATACAATATTCAGAAGTAACGGAACGTCATAGCGAGATTTTTCTTCCCTGTGTTTAGTATTATTCACATTGAATGTATCTTTTCTGAGCAATCAATTTCTCTGTAAATAAATTGGCAAGCTACACTGAAGTATAAAGCTGGCGTGGCTTATTGTGTGCTCCTGAAGGTACATTGTGAATGTTGGGGAGGGGGAAAGGCCTGTTGTGAAGCTGAGAAAGGGGAGGAGTTGTGTCCTATGAATGCATAGTCTTGTGGCACATTTTAAAGACACTTATGGTGCTATAAAAAGCAAGCCGTGTCAAATATCAGCAGGGCTACCTTTCTTTTTCTTGAAAAGTCAGTGATCCCCTAAAGTGTATGTGTTGTATTGTTAACATGACTGGAGGTCATATTGCTTGAATTTTAAGTTTCTAGGACAGGCTGGGCAACCTCCAGGCACCATAGGTTACCCCTCATCTCTGACCTAGAAGCGCTGCTCTATTTAATTCACGTTGTATTTATGTACCAACCTATTTGCACAGTAAGGGCCCAGATTTTCACAGCAAACTGGCTGCCAGTACCAGTGAGGTTATAGCTGGCGCTGTGATTCTCCCAACAGTTTGACTTTACCTTTAGAGGTGCACTCAAGACAGCCAACACCCCTTGAGAAATGTTGTCTCAGCTACGAATGAAGGCAATGCATTAATATTAATTGATAAAATCTTTATTTTTTTATAAAGAATAACAAAGTGCATACAGAGTACAGTGGGGGGGAAACAGGCAGTATTTTGCAAGAGGGTTCTTACTTGATAGCATTTCTAATTTGTTACACATTGCATTATTGCAAATTCTGAATAATTCCTGAAAAGCAATATCTGACTTTAGGAAAAAGATTAGTCTTCCATCTGTTAAGACAAGCAAATTCACAGAGTAAGGCAATGCATGCATTCTGGCCCCAGAGCTTGTACATGGCTCTCTTCGTTGCAGAACATACTGAATCCTACTTCTTTTATAGCAAGTACACAATGCAGGAATAATGTACATCCATCCCCCTACTCCTGGTTGGCATGTTATCTTTTGTAATATCTTCATTTACAGAGTGCACATTTAAAATCCATGCACCATTCAGCCTCACTGGAGAAATTATGTCTTCAAAACTCACTATTCTGCTTAATTGTCACTTGCAATCTGTTACCCAATAAAAACCCCAAATGTCATGCTTCAGTGGTCTTTCCCCTTACATTATTTTTGCACCCCTAAGATTATAGAGTTTTCCTTTTAAAAGAGAAGGAATATTTGAGAAGGACTGACTTCTGTGATGTAGAAATTTTGTTGGACTAGATCAGAATGCTCCAGGACAAAGTGCCAATGGTGTCTGGATTTTAATGAATATACTAAAAGCAAATGCTACAAATATATATATCAAGAGGGAGAAACAAGGCTGGGATGACAGGAGTTACTTCAGGTTTGCGAAACACAAACTGCTTTTGCGAGTTGATGCAAGCTCAAAAAGTAGCTTGGGATGTGTGCAGATCCAAAGTCCCTTTGTGTGTAGGACAAAACTGGTGTTGGATTCCAACCAAAGTTATCTAGCACACCTCCTTAATATTCATTTTTGAATGCTGTCAGGAACATTTCTGTTTATCTGCCATGATTAACATTTTTTACTGTAATGACAGCCACTACACTGTTTGGAAATCATATTTTGCTCTCTAATACAACATGATTCAAACTTTGTATAGGCACATATCACTTAACAGTAGCCTTAAAAGATTTTTTTTCCTCCCTCAAAAGTACTTGGCCCAGCAGCTGAGATCCTACAGGTAGACCCTGTTAACTGGCAAAATGCTCAGCAATGTTCTCTGCTGCTTTCGCGTGTTGGCTACTCAAACAGAAAAACCCTTTTCAGACACAACATTACCAAAGTACAAAATTACACTAGGTAATAAAAAGGCCTTGTACACTTTTCAAAACATTTAAGTGGCAAGTATAAAATGCATGGATTACATTTTTTGGATAAGTGCTTCAAATCCTTGAATCAGATTGTGAAAGCTTGTCCGCTCACCTGGGTCTTGAACCCAACACTTCCCCATCAGTTGGTTAACCTAATAAATGAAAAAGGTATGTTATAGCTTACACATTGAAATTGCCTTTATTCTTAAATAAGATTCGGACATTTACGTTTGTGTCTGCATATACACAAACATGAGCCAATGGCTGGGTCAGGAAGTGCAAAAGTTGCTCGATTATCAAGAGTATTGGCTACAATAGCAGAAATAGCCAATGTTTAATACAATGCATGGTATCAGTAAAGCTCACATATTATGAGGGAGACACTCCAGGTTGAAGAATCACCACATTCAACGCTCTACTAGAAGGATGGGTGGGGGGGAATATGCCGGACCCAGGGACTGGCATTCCCCCCACCCCATATTATGGGCCTAAATCAGAGACCTTTAGATCCTGTCGTTCCAAAGCTTCCCTCAATTCACTCCGAACAAGCCCTCTCTACCACCTGCAGGAGCACTGCCAGCTATGGAGGTATCCACAAGGAAGCTTCTAGGGGTGAAGCTCCTCTGCCTGCCGAGAGAGGAGTCTATAGCATCCTATGGCTCCTGGGATGCTTTCCTACAGACCAACAGGTTGTGCCCATAATGCTTGCTGCTTTTGTTGTAATCTCTACGATAAAATCCTATAAAATACAAGCACTTTTTATATTTATATTCCTTCTTTCTTTCCTGACAAAAAAAGTTCAAGGTAGGTAACAAAAAAATATGGGAATAGGTCAGTAGATGAGTGGGAGAGAGCACCTACAAATCCAGCCTGCATAGCCCTGACTGACCTGAGTACAGGTAGTATAAAAGATGTGATTGAAAATTGGATGGCATTTCCAGGGGCAGTTAAACGTTTAAAAAAGAAAAAGAAGAAGCTAAAAACAAAATATCACCTATCCCAACTGTGAGCGAATTGTGATTATGAGCATTCACAGGAAAAAGCTCTTTTAAACATTAAGCTGATGGGAATTTGCCCAATACAAGACGATGCATAATAATTCTTAATGCCTTACCTCTGGTGGGCAATTTTTAGGACATGGCAAACGTTTGCCTTCTCCTAATACCCGCACAAGCCGTGTCACTGTCATCTGGCCTTGAGTTGGTCCAATCATATTCAGGAATTCCTGCAAGTTATGAAAACCCACATTTAATCTCATTTCTCTGTTAGTAAAAGGGTATAGCTGGGCTGGGTGCCAGAGTCAAGGGAGAGGGTAGGAGTGGTGCCTGCTTGATGACAAGGGCCCAAAGGTAGGTAGCAGAACCTTGGACTACGGTGGGGGGAATAGTTGGGATATGTATGCCTGCACAGCTGCCATTCCAAAGACCAGCAATGGTGGGTTGTACATAGGTAGAAGGGAGGGAGCATGGGCACTGGGTCAGAGGGTTACGATAAATGGAATGCAAACAAAAGCAAGCAAGTCAGCTTTGCTGTAGAGACCAATGTGGATTACAAAAACCTGGGGAGACTGAAACTGGTAGAACCCAGGCTTCAGTTTATTGAACGAACCCCTCCTTCCCTCTTCGTTGACCTGTTGTGTCTAGCTAACCAAGGATTGGGACGCCCAACCCCTTAGGAACAGTTTCACATCTTTGCAAAGGATGGACCCCTAAAAGTGAAATTTCCCAAAATAGAGAGAGGGTGTGTGTCCTTCAGGTCAAGCTCAACACAACTTTAAAGTACAGGGAGCCTGCGCTTGGAGAGTTTCAAAGGCACCCAAAGAGAAGTTTAAGAACTTGCCTACTGGTAACCCAATTTTATAATGACTATATCCAGTGCTTTTCTTCAGGGGGTACTCAAAGAGGTGCAGGTAGTGTATACCCTTAAGTGTGGCACTGACTGTAACAACTTCATGGTGAGTACTGGCACCTATTTGTCTAGAAAAAAAGCACTGGCTATATATCAAATTGCTTTCTTAAGATCCCTAGACAACCTAGAAGTAGAAATGGTTCTCATGTGAACATAAATAACTAGTTTCAAACAGAAATTATGGGACCAGCTATTTAAAGTTTGATCATTTTCATCAAATAAAAGGTCTATGTTCATCCTTTCATTTCATCCCAACTTAAGCTTAGGAGTTTCATAAGTGCTTCGAGGGTGGGGATCGTTTTCAGACAGTGAACAACATTCCCCTAAATGTAGGGTACTGCCCTGAAATCTGGGACTTTTAAAGATTAAGGGGGGAAAGGACCCCTTAAAGCACTTACACACACTTTACTCTTATTTTGGAAAAAAGCATATGGGAAAGAACTTTTCCTTTCACAGCTACTTACTGCCATTGGACTGCATGCAGGATCACAATAGGTCAGTAGCTCATAGAGGGTCACTCCAAAAGACCAAACGTCTGAAGCAATGTAGAATTTGCTCTGCAGTAAGCATTCAGGAGCATACCTGTAACCATATAACACTTTCATTTACTTTTGGTACAACTGCGGCACAAAAGCCAAAACTCACTTTGCATCATTAAATAGTGGAATTCTGGATAGTGATGTTGCAGTCGCAACAGAAACTGCTAAGATGGCTCCATATGCTTCACACAAAAGTATTATGCATCAATTGAACAAAGAAGAAACAAACAGATATTGAAATAATTAAAGGTAGGAGAAGATTGTAAAGAGCAAAGTAAGGACTAATCTACACTGGTCAGTTAAAACATTAAAAACGTGTTATAAAAATGTGACACCAGAATGCGCTGTAGACACTCCTGCGTGAGTGTCTGGAGGCGGTTGGAGGATGGATGGCGGCTAACAGATTGAGATTGAATCCTGACAAGACAGAAGTACTGTTTTTGGGGGACAGGAGGCGGGCAGGTGTGGAGGATTCCCTGGTCCTGAATGGGGTAACTGTGCCCCTGAAGGACCAGGTGCGCAGCCTGGGAGTCATTTTGGACTCACAGCTGTCCATGGAGGCACAGGTCAAATCTGTGTCCAGGGCAGCTGTTTACCAGCTCCATCTGGTACGTAGGCTGAGACCCTATCTGCCTGCGGACTGTCTCGCCAGAGTGGTGCATGCTCTGGTTATCTCCCGCTTGGACTACTGCAATGCACTCTACGTGGGGCTACCTTTGAAGGTGACTCGGAAACTACAATTAATCCAGAATGCGGCAGCTAGACTGGTGACTGGGGGTGGCCGCCGAGACCATATAACACCGGTCTTGAAAGACCTGCATTGGCTCCCAGTACGTTTCCGAGCACAATTCAAAGTGTTGGTGCTGACCTTTAAAGCCCTAAATGGCCTCGGTCCAGTATATCTGAAGGAGCGTCTCCACCCCCATCATTCTGCCCGGACGCTGAGGTCCAGCGCCGAGGGCCTTCTGGCGGTTCCCTCATTGCGAGAAGCAAAGCTACAGGGAACCAGGCAGAGGGCCTTCTTGGTAGTGGCGCCCGCCCTGTGGAACGCCCTTCCAGCAGATGTCAAAGCGATAAACAACTACCTAACATTCAGAAGACATCTTAAGGCAGCCCTGTTCAGGGAAGTTTTTAACATGTGATTTTACTGTATTTTTGGTTTTTATGGAAGCCGCCCAGAGTGGCTGGGGAGGCCCAGCCAGATGGGCGGGGTATAAATAATAAATTATTATTATTATTATTATTATTATTATTATTATTATAGAGCAGTGAGCCATCGTCAAGGTAAAATTACATTGAGAGCTTATACTACTTTTTTAAGAGTGTTTTCCAGATCAATATAGATCCAGCCTATGTCTGTTTTCAGGCAAAGACAACTATGAGGCACTTTATAGTTTTGCAAGTAATTCCTATACCTAACCATAAATGTAAGCATAAAATGCATCACATGTACATGCCACCACCTGTCAGACTGCTCTTGAACTAGAAAATGCAATACAAGAACCCTTTCTTATGGTCAAGTGATCATTATCAAGTTAAAACCTCCCATTACTTATTGATAACACCTACCATGAGGATAATCCATAGTGACACACAGTGCAGTTTCAGCTAAAAATAATATCTCTTGCAGCAAAAACTTACTAGCTTGTCACTATATATATATATCTCTTTCTTCCTTACCAGAACACAGGGCTGTCTTTTTCATCATTGACTTTGTAATATTCCTTATCCGTCTCAATTGCTTTGGTTAGCCCGAAGTCCCCAATCTTCACTCTCTGTTCATTTTCAACTAGAACATTCCTTGCAGCTAAGTCTCGATGAACATACTGTTGAGATCCCAAGTAGTCCATTCCCTGATGGTTGAAGATACACAAAATTTCAAGTATTGTTTCATTCTCTTGCAATTAATTGCTTTCTACCTCAAGCACCTCTAACAATTTTCTTCAGAATTTGTACACCCAATCCTTCTGTTTGGTAAGCTTTTCAGTTCTCATAGTCTGAACCTCCTACAGAACCAGCTAGAGTTTTGGAACTAAAGCACATGGCAGTGTGAAGAATCCCTAGGCCTTAGGCTCTTTTTTACTTTTTCTAAAAAGTCCTCTCTTTTTCTGCTGCTGCTTGGTTACATATAATTTAGCCAGAGAGAAAATTAGCAACAAAGCTCACTTTAATACAAGGCTGTATTATCATTTTCAACATCGTTTTCAACTTTCATAAATGAAATCATTCACCTCATAAAACATGGGGCACATTAAAGGTAAGAAACTGGCAGCAGAGATAAAGTGAAGGATATACATGGTTTGGTATCAGGTTGTATGAAGAACCATCTACAAACACCTTAAAGCTCCTTAAACCCCAAAGTCGGATTCAGGGGACCTGTATCCTGCCATCACCAAGGTCAATAACTGGTGCCCCCACACTTGTGGACTCTGTCCCTCCCCCAGGAACTTGCCTTTTAAGAAACCCCTAAATCCTTTTTGCATTTATCCAAGCTGCTTATGGCTGCTGTCCCTTTAGCTTTTATTAACTTTTTTGCTCAGTTGGTTGTTCTTGTATTTTTATTGTAACTGAAGGGCTGGCCTTAACTGGGATGGAAATGTTAAATAAATCATTTTTTTAAAAAAGCTAACAACCCACCCCCCAAATTCATGCATTATGATTTTAAACAGATATTTCAATTCTGAACACATGAATGAAAATTAAACATCAAGACACTTACTGCTACAACTTAAATATTAAAATATGTACGGCATTACCTTGCAGATTTGTACAGCATATTTCAATTGCTGTTTCAGACCGATTTTATTCTTGTTTAGTGGAAGATATTCCTTTAGGCTTCCAGAAGGAAGAAACTCCATGATCAGCTTAATTCCATTTCCACCTTTGATCAAGAAAGCCAAAATTATCTCAAGCAATTTTCAGAGTCAACAGCTATTATACAGTGAGTCCAGCCAGTGGTGGTATGGTAACATCTTTATTCATGGCAGCAAGCAAGTAGAAAGACACACAAAACCCCAGCCCTGCTGCTATATATAGGAACCTGGGCTAGGACTACCCCACCCAGGTGAAGCTAATTAAAAGTAATCACTACCTCCCTTAATTAGTTCCTGGCTGCTCTGCTACTGTTCTGTGCCTGCAAATTCAATACACAACACCCTTGACCACATTATTATTATTATTATTATTATTATTATTATTATTATCATTATTATTATAATACTGCCCTATACCTGGGGGTCTCAGGGCGGTCAAGTATTACTTTTTAAGTATTTCCCATGGTCCATTTCATCCAGTGTTTTCCTAACACCTTTCCATCCCTCCTAATCTTTGTTCCAAGGAAAAGAATGATTCACAATGACCGAAAAAAAGGTCAGTTTGTCCATTTTCACAGCTGCCATAACCAGGGGATGTAACATGCGTAATAAATATGTTCAATGGGATTAAGACAGAAGTATATTGTATTGCTAGAATTTAGTAATTGGTCTCTTCCTAGATATGTCGGGGGGGGGGAGGGAGGGATAATTTAAAAGCAAACAGGAAAACTGAAAACATTTTCAGAACTTCCAGGGCTTACCATCTTCGGTGCAGATTCCTTTGTATTTCACGATGTTTTCATGATAAAGCTTCCTCAGGATTTCGATTTCTTTCTTTAGCTCAGCAATATGGTTCCCACCACAGTCAGGTTTCAGTGACTTTACCGCCACTTGTTCTCCAGTATTATCACCCTCAGGGTCGTACCTGCAGAGTTCAACTTTTCCAAAATGGCCCTAATTTCAAAAAGAAAATAAAAAACCATGGTCAGCCACCACACACTTGCTTTGCAAAAGAAAGAGAAAACCAGGCAGCTACTGCACCTAGGAGAATGTTTCAATGATACCCAGGGATAGGCTGCATTCGTGATCAGCCATCACTGCAATAACGGGGTGACCTCCACTATTTAGAAGTTCCACAGAAGAAAAATGAATAGGAACCAAATCCCTGCTAGGTTTCTTTTACAGACTTTTGAATCTGCTTCTGGCTTTATTGCTTAGTGGATCTGTGGTTCTTGGGACAATCGCTTAACCCTTATGGACCAAAAACCACTCCATACTGGGTGCTTCTGGGTATCTGTTTCAGTCCCTCTTTGCAATACCAGAACATATCTACTGAACATACAAAAGCAGGGGTGGCTAACCTGTAGCCCTCCAGGTGGCGTTGGACTGACTATGTTGGATGGGGCAGATGGGAGTTGTGGCCTTCTGGATGGTGTTACTTAGTTACCACAGATGTCAAGCAATAAACAGAATGTCTATAAAACGTGTGTGCGGTACTTTCTCTCACTGAAGTGTTTGCTACAAGTAAAACGGGGGCCTGGAACTTACACCAAGGGAGGTGGGACTCCCAGGTAGGTTTGAACTAAGGCATATCTCTACTCAGAAACCTTGCCCTTTGCACTCTGTGCTGCTTTTGGAGCCCTATGCATATTTACTTCTGTCAGAAGGGAATATTCCACACTTCACTTGCTCTATAAACATATGAACAAATCCATTGCCCTGCACAGAGAAATGGGCTGACTTAACACGTTATTCCCGTCTCTAAAAACAATAGAAGGAACAGAATGCTGAATGATCACAACAAAAATACAAGCCATCTATGTTTCAGCACACCATGACTACAGGTGCAAAAGGGGAATAAGAGCACCTTGTACAGCACCTCAGTGCCAAATCTTCAAAAAATACTGAGCAGCAGCAATAGAAGTAAACATACCTCGCCTAAGTCACGAATGCGCTTCAAGAAGCGTTTCTCAAAAATGGTAGGATCAATCTCTGCATTAGGCTTCTTCTCCGAGACGATATCAGGATCTGACACAGATAAGAATATTAGTGTGCTACAAATGAGTACTTTTACCCTTTAAATTTTCAAATCTATTTTTACATATGTTTACTCTGCATTTCAACAGACCCCATTACCTTGCTGAATGTTCTGTCAAACTGCAGATTCCTAACATTTGTGTTATCTTCCTCTAAATCACGGGTGTCAAACACAAGGCCCGTGGGCCGAATCTGGCCCGCCAGACCTCGTCATGTGGCCTGTGTAGCCGCCGCCGGCCGCCAGCCTTCACCTTTTATTCTCGCTTTTTTTTTTTGACACAAGAAAGCCGCCTCTTCAGCACATGCGCGGCAGCCTACAAGCCAGAGAACATCTGCCCTCTAGCGGCACCGGCCGTTCTACACAGGAATTCATACATGCATTCAGGAAACCTCCACTTGTTTTTATATTGAGTGCATGCCATCCTGTGATGTGACAGATCCAACGGCTGCCTGAACCCTTCTCTCCTGTACTGTAAGTACATATGATGTATAGTCCTACAGATACAACCGGCCCTTTGAGGGTGACCAAACTGCTGATGCAGCCCCCCGATGAATTTGAGTTTGACACCCCTGCTCTAAATCATTGGCCCCAGTGAAAATCTTCCCAGAAGATGGACAACTGCTTTAGAAACGAGGGAGTTAAACTGGCAAAGGGAAGCTGACAATATCTGAGGGCAGGGATTAGCAGTCACCCGCTCCATTCTGAACGTGCAGAGTAAACCTTGTAGTCTTATTCCTAGCCAAGAGCCAAGCACCTTCTCACCAAGGCAAGCAGAATCATAGCACAAGGTGTGGGCAAGAAGACTACACACAACCTCTCTGTGTATACTAAGGGCTATGGGAGGGGTATTAACACTGGCAAAATAATCATTAATACACAGGAACCGATGGTGAGGCAGAGCTTGACAGCTCTACCCTTACATCACCCTGGATGCTTCCATAACTACTGTAACACAAACAATATTCCATGACAACGGCAATCCAAAACAGTGTCGGGTTGCAGATTTTTATGTATAGAGCCATCTTGGTAACTATCTTACTTTCTGAACAGCAAATCCCTTCTGTGCCTGCGGGGGACTATATATGGCTTTTTTATACTGCCATCAAGATGTCTGCAAATTCATTAATGTTCATGTATCCCACAGAGCAAAGAAAATAAAACTGACAATGCAGAGGGGAAATAAGCAAAATAGATTACTTACTTTGTTCTTCTAGCTTGTTGATGTCTCGCATGATTGCTCTGAAGAATGGTCTCTGGCTGGGGTCATAGTGCATGCACTGCTTCATCAGGTCAGCCAGCTCCTTGCAGGATGGGACTGGAAGTGTGAAATGCCCTTCATAAAACCGCTCCTTCTGCAAGATTGGTTGGGAGACACCTGTGTTATTCATAGAGCTAGGAAACATGCCTTCTTTCACACCCCAAGTTTCAAAAGAGGCTGCCTTCCAGCAGGAAATATCCTTTTGTGGAGGAGCTCTTAGCAGTGGACTGAGGTTTTGCAAAACCCCACTGGGGTTTAATTAGGCTACTCAGAACGTGGCTTCTGTTTGTAAAACTCTACTGCACACTACAAAAAGGTTCTTCGGCTGACATCTCCACTTGCCCTACACGCTTTCTACAAGAGAGCTAAAAATGTATTTCCACAAAAGGCAAAATATAGTAAGAAAGGGATACTTTAACGCCGCCACGCCACAGCCACCCAGGCCTTACCTCTGCTAATGTCTTGTCTTTAAGTGGCACTTCTCCATTGTAGCAAATTTCCCACAGTGTTGTACCAAAGCTCCACTTATCAGCAGCCACACTTAATTTTTTTGAGTCTTCTACACATTCTGGTGCAAGCCAAGGGATGCGCTCAACACATTCTGGGAGGAAACAAAAAAAAAGAGGTGAAAACGGTTTTGAAGCTAGTCATGGTATTGTTTGCTTAAATACAAGTTCCTTTTTAAACTACTTTTTTTTTGGGGGGGGGAGTGTACATTGAGGAGACTCACTTTTAACGTAAGAACAGAACTATTAATAGAAATAGCCACTTCTATAGAGAAAATACATGGAAGGAAAGAATCTGGAAGCAGTTATGGAATGGGTGTGGGTTCGAACCCCACATCGGGCAAAAAAAACCCTGCATTGCAGAAGGTTGAATATGGTCCATGTGGTCGCTTCCAATCTACATTCTATGTATCTGCCATATTTCAGCTGTGCGAACAGTCTTGAACTACCTGAGTCACTTGAAAGATTCATTTATTGCCCTCTTGTTTCTAGGGAGAAACTTGCTAAATCTTGTTTTTTTACTTTTCTAGTATTCAAGGGATCTTGATCTATATACGCACATCATTCTTAGTTAATGTGTAAACAATCTGCCCATTTTGAGGTGTCCTTTGAGTGCCCTATATTGCAAGAAGGGTGTATAAATATCACATTTTCAAAAAAAACCCAAACCAGTAATTTTGGCCTCTTGGACCCATGTATACCAAATTTCAGGGCTGCACGTCATCAAGAGTTATTCCAACACTTTTTTTTAACACAAACAAGTTCAAAGTTGCCTTCATATCATGGGCTAGTCAATCGCTTCAGAACCCTAGTTTCTACTGTTCAATAGCATTGAGCAAAATGAAAAACTATAGTTAACTGGCTTGTCTGTTTGCTCACACAAAAGGAGGAACAAAGTACTGCAAGCAGAGAGTCAAAGCCTAGATATGAGCATGTAAATGCAACCAGTGTGCAATTAAGTTATGGCATTCAGTGCCATGCTGTGGGCAAGTTAGTCCTACTAATATTAACCCAATTATAATATTAAGGGCAGTTCGACTTTTTAAGCAGAAGTTGAATGGCCATCTGTCATGGATGCTTTAGTTGAGATATGGACAATGCCAGCTATTCTCAGTGCATCTCTTTGGAAAATTAGTGCCAACACACTCTAGACATACACATTGATAGACAGATACAGATGCATGATACAGGTAGTAACAAGTAAGATTGTTTTCTTTACAATTCTGATAAAAACTATTTTCTAAAAGAATACCTTTTCTAGACAGCACTGTTATTGGAATTCCTGGGTCGCTCAGTTTTATGAAAGGTCCATATTCATTGTCAATTCCTTCCCTTGCCAAGAGTATATTTTTTGTGCAAACGTTTCCGTGAACTAGATCTTTGTCCTCCTGCATTTATAAGAGAATGTCATGAAATTGGTGTGTTAATACGATGGCATCCAAATGTACCGGACACGTTTTTGAATAATCTGAAAAACGTGCTTAGAACCACAGTTCACAAAACACTACTGAAGTTCACAGAAGGCAAGCTTCCACTCACTTCAAGACTGACTGAGCCTATGTGTGCATATCAGAATGCATAGCCAATGCAAGTTGCATTTTGTGATATGGAAGACTTGCAGAAAGAATTGCTATCAGTAGATAACATCTGGGACTTACCAGGTAGCTCAATGCACTTGCCAATTGCTTTGCTACTTTGAATTTCCAAGGAGTAGTAAGCAGATCACTCTTGCGGTGCATGAAGAGATCCAGAGGTCCAAATTCGACAAACTCTTCTACCATAATGTCTGCAAAGAGCACAGGAAAAACAAATTAGTGGTGTAGGAAGAGCACAGATACTTCAATCTCTTTAATGCATTTTTAATTGAGAGGGAAACTGCAGGCAAGGCATATTTCAGGCAGGTTTAACTTAGAAGCATATGCATCACCAGACTGATTTTTCTACTTAAGGTAAAGAGAGAGAGAGAGAGAGAGAGAGAGGTGTGTCATTTTAAGATGAGGAATTCAACTACCACTTCGTTTTGAAAAGCAGTACTCAAAAGATTTCACTTACTTTCCACATCACGGACACAAACTCCATGGAGGAGGACAATGTGTTTGTGGGAGAGCTGCCTCATCATGCTTGCGGTCTCAAAAAATGCCTATTACACACACAGGGTGACAGAGCAGAGATTTTAGATCAACGAAACTATGAAAGGAAGAAGCAACAGTAAAAGTCTAGAGACAGCCAGTGTCTAAACAATAACCAAGTTCAGTGATGCGCATATGTTTAAACTACTGCTTGAGTTTGTTATTATCCATGAGCAAAATTCCCCTCACCAATTACAATAGCCCAGGTAAGAGGTTTTATGTAAAGTCCTGCAGCCACAGAAAGATCCTGGAGTGATTCATGTGGCTGTAACAGAAACACAGGTTGCCAGTTTCTAATGACTTATAAAGGGAAGCAGTCTGCTGCATTTCTCCAGTGATGTGCTGTCCAAGAAGCACTTGCTGGTCTGCACCATTAGAGGAGCAGTATCTTAAGATGCAGCACCTCATCTGTCTATCAACCACACCAAGTCCAAAGTACTGATATTTTCAAGGAGTCGAAAACTTTATTCATGGAAACTGGAGGGCACGAAAATCGAACAAGTACATAAATTTAAATATTTAGGAATTTATTTTCAATATAATTTAGGGTGGAAAGCGCACGTTGAATATCTTCAAAACAAGACAAAAGCCCTATCACACTCCCTCCTCCGTTTTTTCTACTCTGAGGGGACCTTATTCATCCCTGCGGCCTTGAAAGTGTATAGCATCAAAGTGATGGCCACAATGGCCTATGCTGCACCTTTATGGACTGCCTTTGCAAATCTCTCACCTTTAGAGTCACTTCAAAGCCAATTCTTACGCCGACTTCTAAAATTACCAACATGCGTAAGTAATGCGGCTATCCGCTTAGAAATGAAGATCCCCTCAGTGGAGTTAGTTATATGGAGGAGAGTTTTGATTTATTGGATATCCCTATGGCATAAACTCCCGAACCACTATCTCATTCAAGGCATGTGGCGAGATGACTTCACAAATTTGTGGTCAGGAAAAATCCATGCCAAATTGCTGTCCTATGAGATCTCGCCCACTGAATTGCTTAAACTGGATCTAAATGTGGCAAAAAGGTGTATAAATCAAAGGCTGGATGATGTGGAGCTATACCAAAATTTCGTAGCTAGTGGTGGAGTCTGCTCGCCGTTAAATTTTGGCATAACCTCTATCTACTGCGCTCCGTCCTACTTAACATTGCTTACGGCCGCGTCTCACCGATATGCCTTCATTAGAGCTAGGTTTAATGTCTTTCCAACAAACGTGCCGAGACATAGATTCACTAAGGGCCAAGTCCCTTCAATGTGTGCGTGTGAAATGAAAACATCTGAATCTACATCATGTTATGTTTATCTGCCCTTTGTACAGTTCAGCCCGTGCTAGTATACTAAACTCCATAATCCAGCCTACGGCTGACAAATCAGTAGACCTACAGCTGGCCTGGGTTCTTCAAGATGTAGATCCTTATATTACCCTACAGGTTGCTAAATTCCTAACAGCCGTCCTCTCGTACAAGAGACGGAATGGAATGTTAGCTGATTATTGATAGTTATAAGAATTTTCTATAATGACATCAGATATTGATTTTAGTGTAGTGCCTAAAATTTTTTAATCTTAATCTTAAACTTTTTTATGAATGGCTAATATCTGTCCTTGTGAGTTGAGAACTGTGTTATACTACTTGTGGCTTGTACGAGTCCGCTGTTTTATTTGATTTGTTTTGTTGTGTTGTGTTTCATGATGGGCGTAAAGCCGAATAAACATTTTGATTTGATGCAGCACCTGTTTCTACCCTATAATGACACGCAGGAAATGAGAAACCCCTATGCAACACACATCTTCCCCTCCAGGCAAGAAAGAAAGATTTCCTGATAAAATATGTCAGTTACTAACAGAAATTTGGGACACCCCATTCCTAACTGGAACATGAGACAGATCTTTCACATACAAAGAGACTAGTTTCAGTTCAACAAATACCTTTAATAAATGGGTATTTTATCTCTTCCCAAGTGGAAATAGGCATTGATGTAGCCTCACAAACAATTGTATGAACTCCCACCCAGATTATAAACCATAATTTCAAATGCGGTTGACAATCATTTATAGTCTTGCATTCCAGACTGCCTATAAAAACTTAGCAGTAGTGACACCAGCCATTTCATAAAGTGTGACATACCAGAGAAAAGTGCCTGTGACTGGGGTCCAAGACTTTCAGAAGAACCTTCATCGCCTTTTCAGCCTGATAGCTCTCATCTTCCTTATACCTAAGGACCCCAGAGTAAATCTGCGTTCTTGTTCCTCTGCCAAGGTGTTCACCCTAAATTATAGTTTAAATCCAACAGTTAGAAATTGTGCCATACTTATCCATTGGCTTTAGAACTGCAAGGAACATCACATCCATCACATCACTTGGGTTTTCATTATCAAGAGGTATATTAATTGTACTATACTCATTTGATAGATAAGAAGCTAGAGATCAGTCTTCTGCATTGGTATCAAATGAGTCCAACGTGACAGATATAATTAGAATATCGCCTAATGGCTTCTTTTTCAGACTAACAAGATATGAATGAAATTATTTTGAAATCCTAAAAAGTAATTCCACTCGGGTTGCTATCTTTTCTTTAGACTGCAAGTCAGTTTGATGGGACAGCTTTGATAATAAGTTATTTGTACTCAAATGAATTCTGGAGTCACAAGAGTGTTCTGCAAATTGCAGTAAAGTTACTTTATGCTTTACAGAATCATGTGTGGTATGCATTTCTCATTAAGGAAGTCTTCCTCTTTAAAACAAACTGATCTGAGTAACCTTTCACCTAAAAACAGCTTGACTCATAGCTCCCTCTCCAAAAATAGATTAGAATATCCTTTTTGCAACAGATTAATAGCAGTGCATACAATAACTTGCAGGATTTTAAGAAGGCGGAAATGAACCTTTTTGTTACCACAGAAACATGAAGGTGCATTGTAATCTGAACATTTACGACTGATTTCAACAGAGGTTGGGATAAGGTGATCAGTGTTTTCCTCCATTTTCTTAGACATTGGTATTAATATTTATCAAAGAGTAATAAAACACAAAATGTTTAAATGTCATGATCACTTACTTGTATTATTTCTTCTTTAAGGATTCGGTGGAAGCTCAGCTGTCCTAACGGGCAGACTGGTTGCCATTCTAGGGATTTCTTTGTCGCCACCAGCAAATTGGAGATTTCTGGAAATACAAAAACCATTCTCACTAAAACACTTCAAATAGATTTGCCACTTCATGTGATGTTTCCAGAACAGTGGCAATTAGCCAGCACTGGGGTATGACTGTAGTAGGTAAAACATATGCTGAACATAGTCTTCAGCATTGCCCTGCTTAAAACACAGAAAGCTTAGATGAGATACAGACTTTTCTATGAGAAACACAAGTTGAAGTTAAAGGTTTTCCGTGAGAAATATATTGTATTTTTTGCTCTATAAGACTCACTTTTTACCCTCCTAAAAAGTTAGGGGAAATGTGTGTGCGTCTTATGGAGCGAATACAGGCTGCGCAGCTATCCCAGAAGCCAGAACAGCAAGAGGGATTGCTGCTTTCACTGCGCAGCGATCCCTCTTGCTGTTCTGGCTTCTGAGATTCAGAATATTTTTTTTCTTGTTTTCCTCCTCCAAAAACTAGGTGCGTCTTGTGGTCTGGTGCGGCTTATAGAGCGAAAAATACGGTACTTCTGTAAAGTATCTTTACTGAAAGACCACATTAAAGACACTACCTCTTGGCTTTGGCTGACAGCACTTCTTGAGTGTGAAGACTATATTGTCTGTCCTAAGCATTTGTCCTTTTAAATGGTCCATCAACTCCTTCAGAGATAGAAATAACCGATCAGATCCATGTAAACGACATCCATCTTTAGTCATTTCAATCTGGAAGTTCTTGTACTGTTTTGTAGGGTTCAGCATTTGCTGTGGGGAAGGAAGGGAGACAGAATAAATCATCATCAAGTAAACCCAAGTAACATGGAGATAATAATTAGGTCTAAATGTATTCCTGAGGAGATTCCAGTAAATGCAGTGAAATCATACTAGAGGTTTGTTTATCAAGCATTTGATGAAGCATTTTCATCCTATCTTGTGACACAACGAAGGAGTCCTGGATGATTCATCACATGTATGATAATGAGAGGAAACATCACATGTATTTTCTCAGCCAGAATCTGGAACAATGTCATCAAGAGCTTTGCCATCCAATGTAAGTTGATCAGTTAACAGTGCCATGTCAATCAGAGAGGTACAATGACAGATGATTTCAGAACTCCTTGGCATCAAAATTTCAGATTAATACTTTAGCTACACATAGATCACACTCCAACTGGTAGTAGAAATACTACAGATGAGAAGGAACCGCCACAACTAGATTATTATTTAATCAACCACTCCCTGTCTCTAGTTTACCTTCCAGACAGCAGAAAGGTACATAGTATGGAGTCTGCTTAAATTTGTCACATGCAGAAATAGACTCCGCTAGTTTCAGCTTGGAGGCTCTCTCAGAAATAAGTGGGAACAAAATGTCACACTTGTACTGGAGTCTCATGAGCATATAAAACTAGCAAAGGCAAGACTTTTGTCAATCCTAAATCCATAAATTATTTTTTATAGATCAAAGTACAGTCTTTACAGCTAAATCTATTGGGCATATAAATGATAACTCTTATTGTACCTGTGAGTATTCACTACATATAACAGTCATGAGGATGTTATGGAAATCTGTACAGCTCCACCTCAGGACATACATCCCCTCCTCATTTCCTTCTTGCTTCAGCTTGTTGATCGCATAATCTGTGCTGGAAGTGTTCAAAAATGAGCAGTTATACTCAAAAGCCTCTTGAAAGCAAGTGTCATGTAGCAAAACTCAGCCAATTTTTTTAAAAATATGGGATAACCACAGCATAGACATTTCAAGTAGGGGCCATCAGGAATTCCAAATAAAAATAAGAGTGAGAAATTCAGAATATGAAGTTCAGTTTTCATGACCTTAAAAGTTTGGAGATTCTGTAAATAGCAGTTTAAGAGCAAGTTCAAATTTTGGACTGTGACTCATATTTCTTAACATTTGTTTTTTTAAAAAAACGTTTTAAAAGATTATTTAGAAAGCATTCCACAACCAAGAATACCACGCTTATTCAAAAGTACCACCATATGGAGGTATCTTCTCTAGATGTTCATATTATTATTAAGTTAACCAGTGGCACTGAATGTGGGAAGGGAATACTTTAAGAACAACTTTAGCAGCTTAAGCTGTTATCAGTTCCTTCACTTCAATGTAACCGTTTACTTTGGTTTTAATTATTCTGCAGAGTCCAAAGTAGCATTGGTGAGAAATAACGTGCATGTTGTTTATGTGAACAAAACTTTACAAAGTATAGTATTTGAAGGATATCAACTAACCATATTGGACCATGGCAGCCATTTTTAATGTTGTGTTTTATCAAGGGCGGCGCAACATCAGTGCAGAGATAATGATGGGCATCTGCAGTAAGCCTGAAATACCCATCTATCAAAGCGGCAAATGACAAAGCTTCCTCACACGAAGACAGCTTGAATTCCTAGAGCAGAAAAGTAATTTCATGAAGAATTATTCCTCTTCAATTAAGAAACAAGAGTAACCAACATTTAGGAATCCATTTGTTTGCTTAGGATTTTGAAGTTTGTAAAATGTATATCTACCATACACAGTGGACTTGAGAGGAACTAAGATATTTATTTATTTATTTATTTATTTATTTATTTATTTATTTAAATGGATCTTCAGCTTAAATCCATAGCACCTGTTCTGAGAAGGATAAACTGAAGACCCATTAAAAAGGAAACACCTCCTCTAGACCTTGGCATTTTCCTACAAAAACGTTCAGTCTTCTCTGGATTCAGATCTATGAACCTTAGACACAGCTTCCCACTATTGGGAAGAAGATCTTGTATGCACAATCAAACAATTTGCATAGGATATATTGCTATAATTAACAATACACAGTTGGGTTTCTGTCAGTACTTTTGCAACACCTTGCTCAAGTGGTTTGGATGATCACACACATATATGTATATGAGCTAGATGAGTCTCGTGTATTTTCCAGTCCTTTGATGACAGTGTAAATAGGACAAAGTTCCAATTTCAAATAAGGTTCAGCAGGCTACTCCAAAAAGGGTAAGATGAGCCTTGTCACATGCTAAAATTGTCTTGTTAATAATTTACAGTGATAGAATAACCTCCTTAGTGCAACACTTGATTTTTCTACCAAAGGGCATAGAATTAAGGAATGGTAATTTTGTTATCATTTGCACAGAATTCAAAAGTGTATGAACATGTGTAATGGGATCTAGAGCTCTTACCATCCTTTTGTTATCTTGCTTGTAAATGCAGACCGTGGATTCCTTGATCACAAGGTGAGTAATTTCGGGAAAGTAACAAAAACTATTCCATTCTTCTTTCTTACTTTTTTCTTCGTTCTTCTTGGCTTTGCCATCTGATCTTTTCCTCTTTGTTTTGTGTTTCTCTCTCTCGCTCTGTGTAACCTGTGTGACACAAACACATGTAGATTAGGGGCAGAAAGACAGAAGAACCCTGAACCTGAACAGTTCTGGAACTGTGTGTTGTGCCGTGTGTTTGCACAGAAAAGACAAAAAAGAACACTGAATGATAAAAGTGAAATCAAATTAATTGTAGGCAATTGTGTTGGCCTACAAAAAGGCAGTTTTATATTTCTTCAATTATAACTGAATTACAGGGCTTGTCCACATTTCTGCTTGTCCCATAATGAGAAAGCATGGGTCCAAGCAGTTTTTCATTTGTCCCAAGGAAAACCCACTGTTTACCACTGAATCGGAACAAACATCAATCTGCAGAAAAACAGTTTGTTCCAATTCAGCAGCAAACACTGGGTTTTCCCAGGAGAAAATGGTGTGGCAAGTGGAATGAGCCCCAAATGAGGCTTTAGAAGTGCAAGACATCCCATTAGTATTGAACCATGATATGAGCAGGTTTCCAATGCAAGCACCTGCTCCTTCATTCATTCTTGATCTTCTCACACCCATAAAACAAAGAGTTCAAAAGTCCTGTAACTGAAAAGATCTCTGTCCATTGTTTGAACTTCCTTCTGTTGTACAGTCTTGTTCTAATGAAACCTTATTTAAGAAGACACTTCTACCAGTACAAAGTGTGTTTATAAATAAGTAAACACATCTAAGCCATAGCTACCGACTGGAAGCAACTTTCATGACCTCAGAGGCTGGGTGGTTTACCTATGAGATTCCCAATTATAGCTGTTTCTGAAATTAACAATGCTGTACAGATGTTATTTAAATAAATAGGTGAAATGCAACGAAACAATTCCTCTAGCGCAAGGACTTTTAGCTAGGCAATGGAACTGGCACTTATGCCCATCAGGATACTTACAATTGGTTTCAGCCGCCACTGGATTCCATTATTGCCTGTTACCATCACTTGATAACATGGGATGATCTCAGAGTAACCCGTGTCAAAGATCTTCTCATTCTCTGATGAAATCAACAACGAGGCAGTCTCGAGTATCTCTGCACCAAAATGTTGCGTTAACGTTTCCAATGTCGCCAAGTATTTCACCTTCAGATCATGCGGAGAAACGCTGCTGTCGCAAATGGTCTTCTTGTTAAATTCCTTAAGGAAATCCTTGAAAACGTTGTTTATCCGTGTTCTGGTTAAGATGTTCCTCTGTCTTATGGTCTTGCTCAGGCTTTCGGGAATATACCGTTTATAGCTGGGAAGGGGTGGGGAAGAGATGCATATTCACTGTTTCTGTCAATGTTTCATTTATTCTAAGTTGCCATGTTTCATGCAAAACAATGTATAGAGAAACAAAAAACCCTTCAAAATATCAGATAAAAATACTGAATACAAATACGTAAACACATAAAAGCATATTTGTTGTTTATGAGTGCAATGTATTTAAAGATATGTGGTTCAATTTATTCTCCTTCCGGCTCAGAAACCTCTCCTTGAAATAGAGGGTTGATATCCTTTCATGTGTCCACCACTGACAGAAGGCATGGTTTCTGAAACTTGGGTCTCCAGCTGTTTTTGGACTACAACTCCCATCATACCTAGATTGCAAGGCCCTAGTGGTCAGGGATGATGGGAACTGTAGTCCAAAAACGGCTGGTTGGGAAACCTTAATCTACAGTAGGCATTCCCAAATTGTGATCTGAAGACCATCAGTGTTTGACAAGATTTATTCAGGAGGTCTGCAGTCTGTGTGTGTGGATTTGTGGTTGAAGATGGGAGACAGCACAACCACTGCACTGAATATTCATATTATTTTAAGTTATATTTGTATCGCTTCTTATATTGTATTGCAGTTTATTGCTCAGGTCTGCATGGAATATATGTTTTGTTTGATGAAGTATATTTGATTTGTTTCTATTTCTTCATGTATTGAATTGTGGTGGTCTATGGCTCTTAGCAATAAAGATCAGCAGCAATAAAAATACAATTAAGAACCATATAGCTTGGTCAACTGCCACATTCTACACAAAATGTGCCGAGCAAGAGACAGACGACCTTCCCGAATCACATGTCCAGATGGAACAGCCACTGAACACCTTCCCTTGACCAAGGGCTAATGCTTCCGGGGACATAAAGGAGCTCTTAAGAACAAGTCAGAGAGTTTACCTGGCCCCAACTGCTACCATATTAGTCATGACTAGCTAATAAAAGTAGTGTTCTCGACAACAGTAATAAGGAACAGTGAAATAAATGGAGCTAAAGGGAGAAGGTAATGCTTCTGGTAACTGCAGAAATGTGCTACTTGATTGGTACAGTTGAGACCAGGCTGAAGATTTCCAAGTCAGCAAAGCCCTGGCTAAACTACTCTCTTGTAGTCATGCAATATCAACAAGACAACACAGGCACATACTGTTGCTTTGCAAACAACAGGAGACAACTGAGTGGTGTGGAATTGTGTCTGGGATTCTGAGAGGAGAAGGGAAGAATTCAATCACATCAACTACTGAGAGACACACCATTAACATGCTTTGAGTTCAGTGACAACTTAAGCCATTATAGTTCACACCAATAAAGGTTCAGGACCCGCTATGGCACATTTGTACTATGAATGCCTTCAACTTCATAAAAACTTTTTAAAAATAACAATTCCGACTCACCTGAAGTCTCTGGAAACATCTGGCAACTTCAGGTCTTTTTTAAGTGCATAGTGTGAGATTGCAAGCACAGCCATCCCCAGACACTCATTTTCAATTTCATTAATCTCCTGGTCATTTTTCGGATCCCGAACAGGTGCAAAGCATCTTATCAAATCATTTTGTCCCTAATCAGAAAACGGGAGAAACCTGTTTTTAGCATGGCTATATCATTTCAACCACCAGAAACCCATGAAGAAAACTATGTGAAACATTTTAAAGCTTGGATCAGCAAATGGGCAAGGCCACTTCTTCACGACAAAAAATAAATAGTTAACACATATAGGATCAAGAGGCCCAGGTGTACGATGCAAAAAGGTTCACAAACCTAATTTACTTATATCGCATTATCTATAGGCAACTTTTCTGCAGATGTGCATCTAAAGAAATATAAAATTTAAATGAATCTATTTTAAAAAAAATTGTTGAATATTTAGTCAGTAGTGGCCAGTGGAGTGGGTGGAGCAACATGGCTCCCCCTGCTTCCCAATACAGTGTGTCACTGGCACTTATTGAGAGGGAGAGGCAAGGTGCAGGGAGCTCAATGTGCAGCATGTGGAGGTGGGAAGCATCAGATTGGCTCCACTGCCATGCACAACACTGGGCCAAGCTCCATGTGCCCCTACCCTTGGCAAGCACCAGTGGGCCACCCCACTTCACTAACCACTACTGCATTTAGACAGTGTACGAACGGAGAACTTAAATTGGATTTTATATGGATCATTTTAAAAATAATCAATCAGGTCATGAACATGATCATGAGACCTACCCCCTCCTGAAGAAACAAAGATAAAATTGTACTGATAATTTTTTTAAAAAGGATGCTGCTGCTATAAAAGGTAAAGGTACCCCTGCCCGTACGGGCCAGTCGTGTCCGACTCTAGGGTTGTGCGCCCATCTCACTTAAGAGGCCGGGGGCCAGCGCTGTCCGAAGACACTTCCGGGTCACGTGGCCAGCGCGACAAGCTGCATCTGGCGAGCCAGCGCAGCACACGGAAACGCCGTTTACCTTCCCGCTAGTAAGCGGTCCCTATTTATCTACTTGCACCCGGGGGTGCTTTCGAACTGCTAGGTTGGCAGGCGCTGGGACCGAGCGACGGGAGCGCACCCCGCCGCGGGGATTCGAACCACCGACCTGACGATCGGCAAGTCCTAGGCGCTGAGGTTTTACCCACAGCGCCACCCGCGTCCTGCTGCTGCTATACCACCAAACATAAAATCACTCTCTAACTTACCTGTGCAAAGATATATTCTAGTGAACTTGCATCAAGTAGAGGTGTTCCTTCTTGTGCTAGTTTCTTCTCATAAGCACTCTTAGATTTCTTTGGAGAATGTCGCCAGACCGGGGGTTCGCTTTCGTTTGTCCCATGCCAATTAGTAAAGTAAAACCTTGCGGAAGTAAAGAACGGGACTTAAGGAAACTATGTGATGTCATGTGCAAAGTTTAACCTTTTTAATATAAGACTGGAAAATAAGGACGCAGCAAATACTAAAATAGAACCTGGTCAACAAAAATAACAATCAGCTTATTCGCTCATAACGACTCAAGTTGAGGCTGCTAATTTAAGATTAGCAAAGCCATCTGCAGCTTACCTACCTAGTCCCTTATACTGTTCCCTTCCAAGCCCCCCAACCTCCTTGTGCAGCCCAAGCTAGTGATGGCCGTACAACCTTCTTAGCACAGAATTTCCCCTTAACGTGACTTAATCCCAGCAACTACCGTATTTCCCCCCCCCAGGCGCGGGGCTGGGGCGGGGGATGCCCGAGCTTCCCCCGACCCCAGCCCCCAGAACAGGCTGCTATCCGCAAGCCTAGGGAGCCCGGCAGGAAGTCGCGCCGGTCTCCCCAGGCTTGCGGATATCTGTCCCCCGAGCTTGTGGGGCTGGCAGTGGGGAGAAGCGTGCTTCTCCCCACCGCCAGCCCCACAAGCTCGGGGAACAGCGGGGTGGCGGTGCTGCGCCTCCCCACTGTCCCCCGAGCTTGTGGGGCTGGCGCTGGGAAGAAGCGTGCTTCTTCCACCGCCAGCCTCCAAACCAGGTTGGGGAATAGTGGGATGGCAGCGCTCCGCCTCCCCACTGTCCCCCGAGCTTGTGGGGCTGTCCCCCGAGCTTGTGGGGCTGGCGCTGGGAAGAAGCGCGCTTCTCCCACCGCCAGCCTCCAAACCAGGTTGGGGAATAGTGGAATGGCAGCGCTCCGCCTCCCCACTGTCCCCCGAGCTCGTGGGGCTGCCCGATATCTGCATGAAGCCCGGGGCGCACTGTGCAGCGCACCCCAGGCTTCAGGATGCAGGCTGCTATCCGCAAGCCTTGGGAGCCCAACAGGAACTCCAGCGGAGCTCCCAAGGTTTGCAGATAGCTTCCTGAAGCCTGGAGAGCGAGAGGGGTCGGTGCGCACTGACCCCTCTCGCTCTCCAGGCTTCAGCGAAAGCCTGCATTCGCCCCATAGGACACACACATTTCCCCTTCATTTTTGGAGGGGAAAAAGTGCGTCCAATAGGGCGAAAAATACGGTACTTCCTGCTAGCTACTAGCATCACTCAGAGTAATGACCACACAAGGTTGGGCAAAACAGAACATTAAACTCCACCCAATAGGTTTGTGACCTTGGGGGGGGGGGGAGGTGAATCCAATTTACCATATTTAATATCTGGTACAGTACTGTTTAGTTTAATTGTGCCGCTAACAATACTGTCACTGAAGCGATGAAAACAAAGTAATTTTAAAAGAGCATTCTGATAAACAGGTGGTGCTATCCTGTTCACATGGATCTCTGGAGCAGAGTGGGCAAGAGTGAGCTGAATACTGGAAAGTCCACAGTTCAAATCCTCCCCATGAACTTACTAGGTGGCTTTAAGTTTTGTGAAATATAAGTAATAAAGGAGGATTCTAATGATAAAGATCAACTGAATTAGAGCTGGGAGGTGGGTGGTATAATATGTATGCTTAGGAGTTAAAAGCTAGAAAATTAGACTCTCTGTGTGTGTATACATTATATATATATATGCAGGTTTTGGTGTCCTCGGGTGTCTTCCCGTGTAAAAGTTGGGGTGTCTAGGCGACGTTTCGACGAGGTCTCACTCGTCATCTTCAGGCTGGTGCTTTCGGCTTCTTGTTACTGGAACAGAGCAGGATCTCAGTGTTTGAGTTCCTATAAATACTGTTGAGGGGGTGTGGTGTATAGCCTCCAATGTTCTGGGCAGAGAGGAAGTTCCCAGGTTAGTGTGCCTTTTCTTCTTTTGTTCCTTAATTACTTGAGGGATATCTTGAGTGATTTCTTGAGTGATATCCTGAGTACCACTTAGGTGGGTCATTAGGTGTGGATTAGTTGCTAAAGCCTTCGTGTCTTGACCTCTTGAACTTTGTGAAGAGTTTTTCTGAGAAGATGGCTGTACTGCAATTAGTTGTGTTCTGGCTTGGCTTCGTGTATAGGGGCGAGCTGTGGTTTTGTGTCCTGTGCCAGCCAGATCTGTGTAGGGATTGCAGGGGGGTGCAGCATCCGGAGGTGCCACCATGGTTTGGCTACTGGATGGTGTCTGTAAAATCATCCAGATGCCCCAAACTCTACGGCCTCCCCAAGATACACAAAGAAGGAACACCACTCAGACCAATAGTCAGCTCCATAGGCTCACCTCTACAAAATCTCGCTAAATTTCTCGCTAAGCAACTTCAGCCCTATGCAGAATCCATCTCTTCACACGTTACAAACTCCTTCCAGTTCATAGAAACAATAAAGAAGCAAAACCTACATCCCAATGACCTACTTGTGAGCTTCGATGTTGTATCTCTCTTCACACAAGTGCCCATTAATGAAGCCTTGACAGCCATTCAAAACAAATACAATCCCCCCGAATACATCCTGGACCTGACCAACCACTGCCTAACCAACACGTACTTCATCCACAATGGACAAAGATACAAACAGATAGAAGGAGCACCTATGGGATCACCACTCTCACCGGTCATCGCAAACCTGTACATGGAACACTTTGAAACCAATGCTTTAGACAAGTCAGAACACAAACCCAAACTTTGGCTCAGATATGTTGACGACACCTTTGTAATTTGGCCACACGGGAAGGAAAAACTAGATAGCTTCCTCACACATCTCAACAGCCTACACCCCAAAATACAATTCACTATGGAAATAGAAGCCAACAACCAACTTCCCTTCCTTGACGTCCTAATCTACAAAAAACCTGATGGCTCCCTAGGACACACTATCTACCGGAAAAAAACACACACCAACCGCTACTTACATGCACAATCACACCACCACCCTGCACAAATAAACTCCGTAGCCAAGACTCTCATCTCCAGAACCAAACGCCTGGCTGACAAAGACCACTTGACAACTGAGTTACAGAATCTCTCCAATGTGTTAATCGCCAATGGATACCAGCAAAACAGGGTTACGAAGCTAATGCAAAAAGAAACACCCCCCAAAAACCAAGACACAGAAGAAAACAATGGCATGGCCCTCCTTCCTTATATCAAGGGCACTACAGATAAAATTAGCAAAATCCTCCATAAACACAATATCAAAACAGCCTTTTGCACCAACCAAAAAATAGCCAATATCCTCAGAAACCCCAAGGATAAAATCCAGTTGGAAAACCAAGGGGTCTATGAAATACCCTGCAAAGTCTGCCCAGCCACGTACATTGGACAAACAAACAGACGAATAAATGCACGTATCGCAGAACACAAGAATGCCGTCAAAAAAGAAGAAAAAACTTCCTCTCTTTTCCAACACATGAAAGAAACAGGACACGAAATTAATTTTGCAGATTCCAAATTGCTCTCTAACATGGAACACCACCACAAGAGAATAATCATGGAAGCCATCGAGATAGAGAAACACCCTCACAACATGAACAAGCGTGACGACACATCCCGCCTGCCAGACATCTGGAAATTAGCCCTCCCCACAAAAACCGACACCAGATCCAGAGGCACACAGAACGCCATCACCAATCAACCACACCAGACCCAAACCCAGACCCTCTCCACAGATAAATTACAGACACCATCCAGTAGCCAAACCATGGTGGCACCTCCGGATGCTGCACCCCCCTGCAATCCCTACACAGATCTGGCTGGCACAGGACACAAAACCACAGCTCGCCCCTATACACGAAGCCAAGCCAGAGCACAACTAAGTGCAGTACAGCCATCTTCTCAGAAAAACTCTTCACAAAGTTCAAGAGGTCAAGACACGAAGGCTTTAGCAACTAATCCACACCTAATGACCCACCTAAGTGGTACTCAGGATATCACTCAAGAAATCACTCAAGATATCCCTCAAGTAATTAAGGAACAAAAGAAGAAAAGGCACACTAGCCTGGGAACTTCCTCTCTGCCCAGAACATTGGAGGCTATACACCACACCCCCTCAACAGTATTTATAGGAACTCAAACACTGAGATCCTGCTCTGTTCCAGTAACAAGAAGCCGAAAGCACCAGCCTGAAGATGACGAGTGAGACCTCGTCGAAACGTCGCCTAGACACCCCAACTTTTACACGGGAAGACACCCGAGGACACCAAAACCTGCATATATATATATATATATATATACGCATTTGAAGTAAAAAATGATGCATGAGTGTGGGAATGGCCACATCTCCATCGGATCAGCAGATATACCTTCTCATCTATCTCACTGCGCTACTTTATGTAGCCTAGAAATACAAACCATCCTAAAAAGGGTGTGTGGAAATGAATATGAGAAAGCGGCCATTAATTTGCTTTTTTGTTCCTTAACACATACACAAATTAATAGCCTCTATCTTGTATCTGTTTTTACTTTGCTGTTTTTTGGACTGTAGCCAATTTCTCTTTGTGCTAAATAGGACAACCCTGCCAGGGTTCAAAGAATATATTTTTTCAGGCTACAAAATGCTGTAACAATTGTTCCAATGGCAGTCTGAGATCAACGTTACCTCGAAGACCATGTTTCAAGAAACCCACAGTTCATATAAGTTTAAATTCTTATATACAGAGACTATAAGAAGTTCAGATCCTCCTGTAGTAAGTAGGGTTGATATACGTCCAGAATTTTCCGGACATATCCGGAATACCGAGGTTGGCAGCAGTGTCTGGGTGGAAATTGGCAGAATGTCCATGAAAATTTGGGTGTATGTCAGCAGTGCCATTTTTGTCAATTTTTCATAAAAAATAGTTCAAAACCAGCATTTTTTAAAGTGATTTTGAAAACAAAAAGCTGAACAACTAGGGGGAGGGGAGCTCTGTCCAGATTGCCAGTGTTTGAAATATGGCAACCCTAATTGTAAGACTACATCAAACCAAATAATTATGACTTTATGCCTGGCTTAGCTATTCATTGAACTCATACCTAATCTTCTCTCAACACCCCTGGAAACTCAAGGCAACAATCAAATAACAAAAGTTACAATGAATTCATTTTGTGTCACAAGCAGTAAGACTAAAACCTTTTCAAACCTTTCAAGTCAGACTCTTGGAAAGAGATATCCAAGGCTATAGTCTGAGGACTGATTGCAAACTGAATTAAATACCATATTCTACAGAAAGTCACAGGTATTTGAAAAGATTTAACAATGGAATAAAAGTCTTGTTACATGTACCTCATGCGATAATGTACTCGGAGTACAGTTTTGTCATCTATTTGGAAGACATGATTTGGGGCATACCACAGCTTTGTGTGTTCGTCAAAGAGTGCAAACAGGTTGTGGCACAATGGAGATATAGCTGTTAAAAGAAAACGATGTAAGTTCATCAGCTTGGGAAAAAGCACTATAAAAATGTATTCACACAAGTCCTTAAAAAGAAAGAGGTGATAGGGAACTGAGCAGAGCACAAGACACCTAGAACTAAAGGGCACGTTGCATGTGAATAGCAGCCAATCAGCACTGTGTGCCAATCTGGGGAGGGGGGGGGAATTGCACAGTACTAGACACTTGTGACGACAAAGTTGGATAAAACAAATACAGAAACTTCAGCCCTGTTTGCATGTTAGCAATCATGAGAGAAGTGGGAACTGTTTTAACGTAAGTTGTCAATAGAAGAACAGAGGAGATATTAAACCATCCGTATGAATTACAGATAGGTAGCCGTGTTGGTCTGCCATAGTCAAAACAAAAAAATTCCTTCCAGTAGCACCTTAAAGACCAACTAAGTTAGTTATTGGTATGAGCTTTCGTGTGCATGCACACTTCTTCAGATACACATGTATCTGAAGAAGTGTGCATGCACACGAAAGCTCATACCAATAACTAACTTAGTTGGTCTTTAAGGTGCTACTGGAAGGATTTTTTTTGTTTTGACATCCGTATGAAGGCAGCTCTGTTTAGGGAAGCTTTTAATTTTTAATAGACTATTGTATTTTAATATTCTGTTGAAAGCCACCCAGAGTGGCTGGAGAAACCCAGCCAGATGGGTGGGGTATAAATAATAAATTATTATTATTATTATTATTGTTGTTGTTGTTGTTGTTGTTGTTGTTGTTGTTGTTGTTGTTATTATTATTATTATTAAGCCACTGCAGCTACCCTTCTGAAATTTGACAAGATGCATCCCCTCAGAAGGAACTACCATGCCTACAAATATCATTCAATTCAACCAAAATATAGCAAAATTATTGCCTGTTCCTTTTTTTGTGGGGGGGGAGTAGGGTATCCAGCACAAAACCCCTTAATTTGGTGGATATTGGTCTGCACAGGAAAAAATCCATCTACTGTACTTCTGTCAAAGGGACTTAAAAAAATTATATCCATAACAGTGAGTGTGGGAGGCATGGTGCTTTGTTCTTCAGTATCAGGATACAGGTCCGCACCCTAAACCAAATCTGACAGCCTCAGAATCGCTTCAGATCAAATGTTGCTTTTTTCCAAAGCAAAGTACAAACTAAAATATTGTGACCAGTGCACACCTTGGTAAGACGGAAGAGGACACATTAGGGAACAGGACATATTAAGGAGGACTTAGCGGGTCACATTTATACATGGTGTCCACACAAGCAGAGGCAAAACTGAGAATTTGTTAAACTAATAATTATGAATGAAAAGGGGGAAAAACCTAATACAATATCTAAAGGGATATTTAAAAATAAATAAATCAGAAAATCATTCTATTTAAACCAGAAAATGTAGTTGAGAATGGAATAGAATGAGTTGAGTGTTGGCGACTGGTGCTATTTTCTTTTGGGGGACTGTCTGTCGTAGTTTAAACCAATGCTAAGGACTGGAGGGATTGTGTTCATGGTTTGAGTGCCTCATATTGTGCTTCATTTTTACTTATTTTGTTTTTTATATGTTGCATGGTATAGTCGTAAGTCACACTGAAAAGCTTTTATAAAGCTACTAAGCTTCATAAATATTATGATTATTTTTGCGGCAGCATCCTGGAGGGCCCAATCTTTCACTGGATAACACAGTGAAGCCATGAATTCTTGGCCAACTCTAAATCCATTAAGGGAAAACAAACTGTAGTTTTCTCAAGGGAATCACCTACAGAGAAAGTGTGTTCCGAAGGCCCACAAACAAGATTAAAGGGGGGAGGGGTAGAAAAACCTATTTGGGGAATTTCAGCAGACACTAGGCTACAGCACACCAAGCTAACTGCATTGGCATTCAGGTTAAACAGTAGTATAGAAGACAACTAAAACTCACAGCATTTCCGGGCAGCTTCAATGCAGAGGTCTTCTGCTGTATACCTGCCAGACGTATACCTAAGAGAAGGCTTCTCTTGCAAATAGAATGCTACTTCCAGGCCTGGTTCTTGAGCTTCTGTGTTCACTTCATTTTTTCTGGAACTTCTCAGTTTGGCACAGAAAGCCATGGCTTTGCAGTCTTCTCTTACATTAAAAAACTATATACAGGTACATGAAAGGGGAAGAACCAGAGAACAGTACACAGAAGAGTTAGATTGTACTTCCGTTTCCTTCTCGTCTTGCAGCCAAGGTTGTGTAGGCATCTGGGGATAGGCATCAATGTGAGAAAAAACTCCAGAAAATACTATTAAAAGTAAAGACTCTAGTAACTATGGTCAATTTTGGATACACAGTTTTCTTGCAACCGTGAGGTGCTAATGAAGAATCCTATCCAGCTTTTAAGACACGAACATTTTTGTTGGGACTGACAGTCAATATTAGTTTCTTGATTTTAATTGCAATTAACATCAGCTATTCTGTTTTGGGCCTGGGATAAAAAAAAGTTTCAGTGCACTGTCACAGCAAGTCATCTTATCTGGAAGTGCTTTTGCTCTTTCACCTGCTTAGTGAAATGGATGGCTTAATGCAGTTTCCTGTGTGTAGACACTGTACATGTTTCTATAAAGTGTTTTTAAAACTTAAATAGTACTTTCCTCCAAAGGTGGGTGGCACATACCACATATCTCACAGCCAGCTATGGGCAATTCAGGGGTGCAGGGTAGCGAGTGGGCTGAATGCTGTACAGGTGGCTCCAGCTATTGATAGATCCAAGACCAGTGTACAGGTCTTGATCAATGGAGAGGGGCCAATTTTAGAATGCTGCTAGTGAGCAAGTCAAATGGTAGCTTCTCCTCTGCTCTACACCCTCTCAAGCTCTGATTCTGGTTCTATGTTTGCAGGACCATCCACTTAGATGCCCTCTCATATGGCATAAGCCACTACTAACAGGACACACACTCCTAATGATGTAAATACCAAGATAGTATTCCAACAGTAAAAGGAGTACACCACCACAAATCTGACACTGCTGAATTTGGACTCAGCAAGTTCTGGGACTGTCACTCGCCACAGCAATTAACAGATCCACCTCTGTATCACCAGTGGCTCCCTAGTTCAGAATGGGTCACCCATGCGGACGAGTTGTTGCATCAATCTAACTGGATTCTGGATTCATTTGTGCTCTGAATAGCATTGAGACACACACTATTGTTTCCTGCTTGACTTTGTGATCTCACTTTGTTGAAGAAGAAAAAATCCTTTCTCTTTGTACTCAGGACATACATGCCTATCCACCTAAGTACCACTTTGAGCAACTGACAAAGTGGGCTCTGGCTAACCAATTCTTATACTATAAAAAATCGAATCTTTAAGTTGCCACAATAGCACATATGCTATTGACTGGCAGGAAACAAGGACTAAACTGATTTTTTTAGAAAATGGTGTGTGGTTTGGTCTTAAATTTGCTAACACTATAATTATATTAAAATACATACCGGCATTTATATGGCTGTTTGAACTTCCAAGCCAGCTAAATAGATGTGACTTCAAGATAATCCAGAATTTATTCAACCCTGAACAAGAGAACAGAAAATAGTATCAAGTCCTGAAATTTTAGGCTACAGGAAAATAATGCCAAAGATAACTTTCAGTTTACCAGAACAGGGTTTTAGGAATGCTCCAAAAATACGATACTTTAAATATCTAAATGTTCTAAACTGGAGTGGCTATATATTTGAGGTGGGGAGAGAGAGATTTCCATTCTGTCTATAATATAGCTAAAATACAGAGCCAAAGCCAACTTTTCAAAAACTCTCATCCATGTCTACTGATGTTCAAAACATCGCATGTTATCATTTTACAACAGCAAGGAATCTTTTTTCCATTGGAGAGCCACATGTCCTCATGGAAAACAACATTTAAGAAGTGGCGGGATCAGTAGGTGGAGCAATGGCTACATTTCAATCGTAGGCAAAAGTATTTGAGAATGTGAAGCAGGATTGGCAGGGGTGTGGCCTGGGACAAATGGTGTAGCCCAGTAGTTTTCAACCAGTGTGCCGTGGCACCCTGGGGTGCCTTGAATGATGGTCAGGGATGACATGGGCAACACTGGCCTCTGTCCCTCTTTCCTTCCTCCTCTGATTCCCTCTCACGTCTCTGCCTCCCAAAGGATTGCACAACTGTTGCTGCAGCAGCTCTGGCTACAAGCTTTCCATGCAAATGGTGCCTCTGGGGCTGACCAGGGATGCTTCCCAGGCCGCTGTGAGGCAGTGTGAAGAGGCACCTCTCTTTGGGGCAGAGGGGAGAGCTCAGAGACCAGGGCAACAGCTGCGGCTGCCCAAATGACTCCCAAGGAGAGAGGAGAGGAGGCTGAGGGAACACTCGACAAGGAAGGGTGTTTGAAAAAGGGTGAGAAGCTGCCAGCTCTGCAGGAAAGGGGTGACATAACTCAGCACCTGAGCCCCACAAGAAAGAATGTAGCTGGGTCAAGGGAGCTGTGAACTCAAAAAGCTTAAAAACCTCTGGTGTAGCCTAAGGAGAGTCCTGAGGGATGGAGAGAAAGGCCCTCCCCTATTTTACAAACACAACATGATGATGTTAACCCCCCTTTAGAACATTCTAGTATTCCACTCCATAGGGTCTCACAGCAAAATTGATTTCTCCTGAAGACTACAGAATCTAGACACTCATTGGAAATGCCTTGTTTTTTAATAATAACTTAATAGAGGAACAATACATTTGAAAATTGATTATACCACAACCACTGAAACATTTGTGAGAACTACTAACAAGGAAGAATACAGATTTAAAGATGAAATATAAAACCTACAGCTTTCCCGAAAACCTCAACTCAAGTCAAAACTATTGCTTTTGAGAACTGCTTTTATGCTACACTTAACCCTTAACTCTAGTCTCCAATTATAGCAGCTATTCCAGGAATACAGAAAGTAGGGAGTGCAATTCTTTTGCAATAATCTTCTAGGGGCCAAAACAATCAATGCCCAGTCAATAAGTACTTACTGCAAAGCTGTCCTCATATTCTTGTATTCAGTAGGATTTTTTAATTTTTCATTTTTAAAAAGCAGCTCTTCAGCAACAATCTAGTCAGTGGGATATAGTCATCCACAATATTCACCTTGGTTGCTGAGTACTCCATATCCAACAAATTACACCATTTATCTAGACACTTAATACAGTTGTATCATGGGAGAAGAAAGGCACAGAAATCCAGACTTCTGATCTACACAAACAATACCTTGTATGCTCTCAAGCATTCTACTGCTTTGGGAGAATCATGCCAGGGTGCAAAGAGCAGTTTCTTCCACCACCTGCTGCAGGGATTTGTGTCAGGTGGGGGTGGAACCTCACTGCGTCCTTTGGCTTGTTGTTGTCTGCTCTCTATGGCAATGGTCCCCAAACTCCCCACCCCGCACCCCAGACTGGCCACAGACTGCTTGAATATTACTGAGGGTTTTGGTGGGCTGCCTAAGGATTTTTCTGCTGCTGTAGCAATTGTAATGCGCTGTGTTAGGTGCTTTACAATTTTTAATTCTGTAGACCACAGGGACAAAGCTGACTGCACTTTGGGAACCCTTGCTCTATGGTGTTCTATTAATATATATTTGTTGGCTAAGTATATTTAAAAGCAAGTGACAACTGTAAAGTATTTTGGGTCTGGCTCCATATACCTCGGAAGTCGAACGCCTTGCGAGTCTCGGCTCCTGAACGCTGCAAACCCAGAAGTGAGTGTTCTGGTTTGTGAATGTCTGATGCAGGTTCCATGGGTTCCGATTGGCTGCAGGAGCTTCCTGCAGCCAATCGGAAGCTGAGCTTTGGTTTCCAAATGTTTTGGAAGTCAAACGGACTTCTGGAATAGATTCCATTCGACTTCCAAGCGGTTATCAACCTGTGGGTCCCCAGATGTTGTTGGACTACAACTCCCATCATCCCTGAGCTCTGGCCTTGCTAGCTAGGGGTGATGGGAGTTGTAGTTCAACAACATATGGGGACCCACAGGTTGAGAAAGGCTGTCTTAAAGCAAGTCCAAAAACCTTGGATGGTGTGAAAAAGCGCGTAATATACTGGATATACTGATGAATAATTATTCCTCTACTTGAAGCAGTAGATGTGTTAGACATTAAGAACTTAATATTATAATGGCAATTGTTTGCCCGTAAGCAGTAGCTTAATTTAGCTACTGAAAATAATATGACATGTAATCCGGAATTTAAAATTAATCTTGAAATATTAATGTTGGAAGGCAGCTTTAGGGCATTAGGTAGTGTTTACAGAAATCTATGGCCAACATGAAAAATTTACAGCATTATAATATCTATGTACTGCTAATGGAGGTATTTCACTATTGGAAGAAGATTGCAAGGACAGCCACTAAAATCACAATTCTTTTAAGGATATTAACGGAGGAAAACATTAAAGGATTCCACTGCTAACTTCCGTGGACAGGAAGGGAAACCAGTTCCTTCACAGCTGAATCTTTATCTTGTTACCCAAATACTTCTTAGTAAATCTGAATAGCTGCAACTCATCTTCCCAACCACTTTTAAAGAAGTGTTCAGATTTGAGGAAGGCAGCAAATAAATAAACCAAACAATTATTTTTTGCACCCTGCTCTTCTAACCAAAGGCCACCAAGAGCAGATAATTTTTATTACAAGACTTTTATGCCACTTTTCAGGACTGGGGTTCTTTCAAAGTAGCTCACAATCAAAACAGAAGCCTGCACATTATCAATACAAGCATTAAAATCACATTTTTTAAAAAAGAAAAACTCATAAACATAAAAAACACTGAAGGCCAGCATAGAACCAATTGGTTGGGTTACAACCTGCCATCAGCTACGCTAACCAGCATAGCTAACAGTGCAAGGACAATAAAAGTTAGACTACAATTCCTGGAAGGCTGGTCACAGGTTCTACATCCCAGACTTAAATAAATCAAGTATTTATGTGCATGAGGCATGTTATTCCTAACATGCAACAATCAAATTCATAAATGCTCAAGGAACTAACCATTTCTGCAGCATTCATTTTGGAAAGGGGAAATGAAAACCTTACTGTCCCTCTGAGATGAAAGTCTAAACCTTATAGCCCTACAGAATATTATGTATGCCAAAAACTGTCCTATCATCAGGGCAAGGTGAATATCCAACATAGGCTTGCTTGCTTATTTATTTATTTTTAAAAATTATTTCATTTTACAAGCATAAAATTATAATAATACCAAATACCCACACTGAAATTTCTCTGTATCTCTGGACTTATTTGTCATCATTTTCAAGTGCATATTGTTTCACAGTCCAAATTTTGTATCTGTCCATAGTAACTGTTATATTACAAGTGTGATTAAAATCCTGCTTATGTTTTCATCTGCTCCTAAGTAGTCTCCTAAGTAAATTATATATTTTCCCCCCATTCTTTCTTAAAGTTTTTGTCATCTTGGCGAAACTGACCAGAAAGCTCAAGAACAAAGATGACACTTAGGCATATTTAAAATACTTCTTCACTGAAATAATAGAATTGTAGAGTTGGAAGGGACCACGAGGGTCAATCTTGTCAAACTCCCTGCAGTGCAGGAACCTTTTGCCCAATGTGAAGCTAGAACCCACAGCCCTGAGATTCAGTCTCATGCTCTACGAACTGAGATATCCCATATTCCAGGGCAGTATGTAAGAAATGTGCATTAAACTAATTCACAAAATAAATGAATCAATATACAATTTATATCCATTTCACAATCAAGGTTGTACTACTAACAAGGCCCTATACAAATCAGGACCACTTCATCCCTTATATACCCAGTAGGCGTCTGCACTCTGCAAGAGAGTTTCTCCTTCAAGTTCAAAGAAGACAGAAGCCTACTCCACAGTAACGCGGAGCAGGACTATCAGTGTAGTTGCCCCTGTTGGATAAAACCACATCCCTGCTGAGATACGACAGGCACCCGCTATCTGTACTTTCCAGAAACTATTGAAGATGCAGTGGTACCTCGGGTTAAGTAATTAATTCGTTCCGGAGGTCCGTTCTTAACCTGAAACTGTTCCTAACCTGAAGCACCACTTTAACTAATGGGGCCTCCTCCTGCCGCTGCTGCTGCTGCTGAGAACGATTTGTGTTCTCATCCTGAAGCAAAGTTCTTAACCCAAGGTACTATTTCTGGGTTAGCAGAGTCTGTAACCTGAAGCGTATGTAACCTGAAGCGTATGTAACCCGAGGTACTACTGTATTTTCATTTGGCCAGGTTTTTCAACTGGATGCAAAGGTTTGGAAACAATACAAAGCAAACATCTACCTTCCATAGTTTCTGTACTCTTTTAAAAAACCATTTAAGCTGTTTACTTTATACGGTATGCTTGTAAACCACCCGGACACATTTGCAAAAGGAGATTAATAAATAGTGTAACCATCATGCCAATTAAGATTAGGTATAAAGGTGCATCTATAATTTATATACATTCTGAAGATATGTTCTTTGTATTTAATAAATTTCTTCTCATAGTGTTTAATCTCTGATCAGAAGGTATGCAACTGGATACTGCTGTATAACCCAACTAAATT